ACATAACATTTATATTAATTATCCCTTTGTTATTATTTTCTTTCACATAATATGTAAATAACTAATGTATTGTTGTATTTAATTATCTTTCAATATACAGGATGATTTCTTCTACGAAATATCTTCAAAAATATTAAAGCAAATTGTTGTTTTATTTTTTATAATAATAATGGTCCTTTGTTAGTTATTTTACAGAAAAAATTAATTTTATGCTACCACATCTTTTATCTTAAACTAGTATTAACATTAGATTTTCAAATGGCTAGTTTTTTTTTATAACATTACATTTATACAATTGAAAAAAAAAATTATTTTTTATTTTAGCTTCAATGCGAAGCTGAGAAGGTATTAATTTAAAAAAAACACATCATAGTATAATGTGTTTTTTTATTTTTTATTATTTTGTCTGTCACTAATTTTTCTCAGCTCTCACTGGATCAATTTTTCTCAACGATACGTCAAAAGAAATAGTTGAAGACATTACCCTCAAAAATTGAACATTTTCCCCTCGTTTCCCGTAAATGGTGAAAACCCTCCAAAAAAATTACGATTTTTAAAATCAGTAAATTTCGACATTTTTTTCGTCTTAAATTCCACTTTGCTCTACTCACTAAATTACATTGTCACCTGTTGATAAATTTTGATCTAAATTTTTCTTGATAACTTCCGGCACTGTGTCCATGATTTTGTTGACCTCTATTTCTATAGAAATAGACTTCATAAAGACCTTATATAAACCTCGAGAATTTATAAAGTCTCGAGACATTTAAGTGTCTTCGTCAAACTAGCCGGACTAACTGCCATTTGTTAGATTTTAACCACAAAGTCGGACACATCGTGTACATTAGAGTCTGACTGTAGTGGTATTTTTGTTATAAGTGATGCAAACAAGTGTGTTATTTATTATATTTTTCGCATGTGTTTGCTTTTATTAATATTATGTAAATTTAACTTCTTTTTCGTAACGTCGGCTGAACCTGCCTCTGTTTTTAGCCCTTCAGGGCAAGTAATGTGTACTGATATTTTTTAACATTCTGGGCCAAGTGCGCTGTACCATAGAATTCGCAATGTAGCGAATTTTTTTATACATTTTTTTGTAGATGCCCCTATTTTTTTTAGGTCTCTCAGCATGTTCCAAAACCACCGCATTGTTTTAATTTATATATTTTTAGTTGCTTTTTGATGTGTATACTTTATTTATTATATTGTACTGGGTGATGTACCTTTTATGACAATGAGGTAGACATAGTGCATATTTTTTCGGGGTGTCCCAACGTCTTGCAAGATAATTTGTTGTAATAGTAGTATTAACGTGACAAAAATTATGTAATCATTTTATTACTCATATCATTGTGTATTAGAAGAAAATATTATACTTCGATCACAATTAAACAACATACCAATAAAAATATCTGAAAACGCTAATGACGTTGATCCTATAATTAAATTTAAAAAAGTATAAAAAGACGAGTTAACGTGGTCTTAAATAATATTCGCACATAGAATCTCTCAGAATCACTTTCTTCATCAACATTATTAGCGTGAAGAGATATATTAAAAAAAAAAGAGAGAATACATTTTATTCAAGAAGACTTACTCAAAGATAAGAATACTAGATATAAATCCTAATTTAAAATGTAAAATTAAAATAAGTACTTTTGTTAAAACTGAAACTAAATAGAGCAGAATTCGTTTGATCTGTTATTTTACGGTTGGCGATTTCTCTGGATTCTTGATAAATTAAAATTTATACATATATGTGGTAATATTTCTTTTCTTTGGGATTGTGTTAGTAAAGAAACCCTCGGAACACTAAGCACGATATAAAAGTAACTCATAAAAAAATGGAATTAGGCTTATAATCATAAGAGTCTCCACTAATCTAATATCTCTTTAAGCAACTACATATATACTAATATCACATTATTTTTACATTTTTGAATTACGACAACGTCTAACTGTTTAAAGCCAGTCGCTTACTTGGAGCATATACTCTCTACCGTAATACAGTGACACTTTTTGTAGTATACTCGTCCCTACCATAATATGGGATTTTTACTTAATTTATACATTATATTCAATCCTTAGAATATAATCCTTTTCAAACAAAAAAATTTAAATAAAAATTTAAGAGAAATAGTCAACAAGCGCATACTGTTTAGTTATATTGTAATACACACTTTTAAAATCACTCTTTACGAAAAGAAACCTATAAATTATATTTGTCATTTTTTTTTATTCTAATCTTAATAATTAAACGCATTGTATCGACCTTAATCTCAAGTATAAAAAACCATGTTAATGTTATATAAAATATCAAAATGATTTGTATACTATTTATCTGTAACAATTTCTAATATTTTATTTTTACTTATCAATAAACAGTAATATTGCAATAATGAGACAATGATGATTTTCGGGTGTATAAAGTAATATAAAAAGAGAGAGCAAACCCTTACTCTGGTCTGGTCTTATCGTGTTCTAAACAACGTTACGCGAACATTGTGATAATCATTGTCGAAATTTTTACACATTAAAGTTGTGAACTAAATCGAATTGTGTTATTTTATTTGTCAATCATTGATTAATATTCTCCCTGTGGACAGAGGATACTTCCACGCTTCCTCGCCAGTCGTAAGAAACGACTAATGAGGTTGCGTCAGGTCGACAGCCGGCGTAAAATTTTTGTCAAAAAGTATGATGAGTCAGTCCTGAACAAAACTTAGGCTTAGCCGACCCCAAGTAGTTTGGATAATGACGAGGAAAAAAAAGGAGAATCATTGATTAGAATTATTAATTAAGATATTATAAGAACCCAGAAAAATTATCAGGTGAGATTTTTATATATCCATAAGTGTTAATATTTCTATTATTTCATAACCTTCAAATTAAAAGTAACTCTCACTTTTACACATTTTCTCACTTTTCTTTATTTTATTAAGATTTGAGCTACGATACACTGCAGTTCTCGACGATCGGCGGGTATCCGAAGGCGATCATTGCATTTCTCTATTACAAAACTTTGGGTCAAATTTTTTATTAATGTCTTATTTTTTTATTCTCTATTGCCTTTTATTGCATACGACATTTTTTGACTATTCGGATTTTGCCTCATGTTAGCGTAACTTTTTTTTTTTTAATAAAAATATCCCTTTAATCTAACCTAATCACAAAATCTTTTTGCATGTTTCGTCTCCAGCGATCTCGTGCAAGATCATCTTCTCTTAGTTTATAAAGTATGGGCAAAGGCTTTTTATAAAATCATACCAAATGATTCATCGTAATGTGACAACTATTCACGAGGTTTTAGTGTACATCAACTGTCAACAAGACAGTTGAAGAAATCCGTTGAGACAAGACTCAACGGATTTCAGTTACATCTTCAATTAGTTTATAATTCTACAAGTATCTCTGCATATGATATTTAGTTTAACATGATTAGTTATAAAAAAAATGACTATTTATTTTCAACATTTTATTAAATTTGACACATGAATCTCACTATACAGAATTTCTCAGATCTAAATGACAACGCTTTTGATAAAATTATCATTTTGTTGATTTTCTTTTTTATAATTATTGTCTTATTAGACTACGTTTAAAATATATTTATGTTATTTATCACTAATAAAAAAATTTTTATTTTTATTGTATTCAACATTTTAAAATAGTAATTTTAAATCTATTTCGTACAAAAATGTTGATGGGTCTAAAATAATTTTAGGATAAGTACTCATTAAGTTACAACCATTTTAATACATACAGTGGACATATAAGGAATTCGGTTTATCAGAAATCACAGGATAACTCACAAAATAAAAAAATATTTGAAAAACATTTTTAGATTTACCAACTACTAATTATTTATTTCATCTCTTATAACTTAAAGGCGTGTCAACTTTATTTTTTTTTAATGGCAGTGAATTTAATTAACTAGTTATTAACCAAACCCAACTAAATTAGCTATTAAACTGAACCCAACCAACTAGACTAAGAATAAAAAAACATGCGGCTATTACGATTTTTTTAACTCTAAGTTATTTTTCATATTTATAATGATTATGTCAACTAAAAGTGATACAATAAATAATATTTTAGTATTTTTTGAATCCTCATAACATTTTCTATCGATATAATTAAAAATAATAACATAAACATGAATAAAACAATATTTATAGAAAACATAAACAGCTTTGCCTTTTTTAAAAATCCTGTAAAACTCAATTTTAAAAATCCATTTTAAAGATGAAACTTTACAGAATAATTTTAAGTTTTTTATAAATTATTATCATGATACTTTAAATATAATTTAAAGGTAATGAAAAAAAGTTTTTTTTTAATTTTATGTGAAAAAAGTAATTTTATAATTACTCAAATTGTGGATAAAATATTAATGGTAGAGCAAAACTAAGGGAATATTTGTTACTAAGTGTCACACAAATACCAGAAATAATTAAAAAATTTCATAAACATCCATAACCTGGATTTTGTCGATCTGTGTTATCTATAAATTTTAAAAAGGAATAAAATAGTGACACATATTTTAAAATTTACTACTAAGATTTCCATGAACAAATAAAAAGAAAACTAAAACACTATTGTAAACATTAAATATACTTATTATTTGTAATACGAAATTTTACATTTTTATAAACTTGTTATTGTGTCAGTGATTTATATCTATTCTGAATTAATAACAGAAAAAACTCAAGTGAAGCTCTACCTTTTTGGAAGTTTTCCCGGTTTTCTTAGCTGTAAAAAAACTTTTTGTATATGTACTCACAGAATTATTTAAATTTTATTGCATCCATTAAACACAGTAGAATTAAGATAAATTAGTTAAATAATACTTAACAATAACAAATAACTATAACAATAAGATAGTATGACATTGAGTACATTTTTAATGTAAATAGACTTTACTCAAAACAAGTTATACTAAGCGATTTTTATTTTGCAAGACATATTTTTTATATAAAAATTATATTATTTTAACTTACCTGCGCATATCTATCAACGACGCCTTCGCCTAAATTTAAATGAGTACCCGCTGTACAGTTATTGCCCAGTTGTTGTTGTGATTCTACGATTCGCAATAACCTGTTAACTATATCATTATCTTGAAGTTCAATGCTAGTTGCTCGTTTAGGAGGCATTTGGGTGTTAACTTTAAGATTTCTTGAACTTCTCGATCGCCCGTGCCGAATTCCCGTAGCAATACATGTTGTTAAAGTCGCATGTAGAACAAAAAATAACAGTAGCCCAGTGACAGTCCAACGGACCGTCACGCTGGCTGAAGACATACCTTCCAGTAGAGTCAATTCAAGGCTTCATTGCACTTTACACTAAAATTAAAAATGTTTGATTAATGATGTGTCCATGTTAAAAATTACATAAATAATTTTTAATATATAATATGCTATTGTTAAATGTCGCGTTCATTTTTTATATTTCTTTTTTAAATAACAAAACAAAATGTTTTACTTGAAAAATTTTATAATAGCTGTAATACGTTTTGTGTATAGATTTCAAATTAAACGAGATACGAAAAATGTAAATTGATTTAAATTCAAAATAACAACATTTTATAACAAAATTCTGGGTTATAAATTAGCTTTTAAAGTATTACACAACAAATTAAAATGAAGAGCAAATATAATTAGAATTATTTCTGCATTTTACAATTAGTTGTCTGGCATTATGTATACATAATGCCAAACAACTAATCGTGTACGTTTTGTTTTCAAACGTGACAAACGTAAACTTTTATTTTCTAGGCTCCTAGTTATTTTCTGGTTCAATTTCCTCGAAATTATATTATACCAGAAAAATAAATATGTTATTCCAAGAGTAACTTAGGATAACAACTCAGAGTAATATTTTGAAAAAGGTTTTTTCTTTAATATAGTGTCACGTTTCCTGAAAATTAAACTAACAGTCTCTAATAATACACATAAAAGTTATTAAATTATTAACAAGAGACAAGAAGTTCTTTGATTTTTGAAAAACAAATCTAGAAAACATTTTTTTGTTTTCATTTTAAATATTGCGAGTTAAATAATCATATAAATTAGTAACATATGATACAAGTCCATGAAACATGCTTAATCATTCGTATTTTTTACTTATGAAATAATTACTTTGATCAAAATTTGTGTTAACAATAAAAGTATATATTTATAAAGTTATATTTTTCATATTAATGAAAAAAAGAAATAACTATTAAAAGCTTGATAGTTTCAAATTATTATTGCTCTTTTTAAAAAGAAGATTAATTTAAAAATAAAAATATTTTTAACATAAAAAGTCACAAAAATAACAACAAAAAAAACATGGATACGTATTTTTTGGTAATAATGTTACCAAAATCAACGCTAAACACATCAGAAAAATACTTTTTTATACCCTTTGTGACCTTATCACCTAGTGATATTATCACCTGGTCGATTGTCACATTTTGCTAGTATACACAATTTTAATTTTTCAGTGTGTCAAAATCCCAATTTATTAAATTATCCTTATTATTAAAAATTTCTATTGCCTTCCTTATATTAAGTTCATTGTTATTATTTACGTTTCTAACTAGTTTTATATGACTCAAAATATATATAACAAAATGAAAAAACTTACTAATTTAAAAAAAATGTTTGTAGTTTTTGTGTTTTAAGTCAAAAATTCATAGAAAATAAATCGTTGGGAATTTTTTTTTTTTTCATCATACAATATTCTTAAAAAGTATAAATTTTATTTAGGTTTAAAGAATACAGGTGTACAAGAATATTAAAAAAAATAAAGTAATTAAAAAAATATATTGTGATATTTTTTACTTTAACGGTTGATGTTTCATACTAGACAATCATTGGGACAATTTTTTTTGTTTTTTATTTAGTAGTACATTTTTAGAGTTTTTATTTTATATAGTTCACTAGTGGTTAGATCTTTCAAAAATTTATTAAAAATTGAGTTAATGTCTCTTTTAAGAAGCCTTTTGTACTTAGGTTTCTCATTGGATTTTTACGATACATAAAATTTATTGTCCCAGGATTGTCTCGATTAATAATTCATTTAGGTCACTATTTTTATAAAAATTTAAAGCAGTTGTAAAATTCCAAAAAGTTTTTATAAACTAAAATTTTAACGGTAGCATAATTTTTGGATTTTTTTTTAAATTTCTAAAATTTCTTTCAATTTTTTAGGGGATCTCAGATATAACTAGATTAAAATCGGTCTATTGAAATCTGAGATATTGTATGGACAGACATAAAAAAACACATATCATAGCTTTTTTTTAGATAAATTTTTAAAGTAAGAAAATACCTAATAATTATTTAAAATGTGTTCATATATAAATAAATATCTTATTAATTTTAATCATTTTAAAGGGAGAGAAATAAATTAAAAATAAATCGAAAACCTCATCTAATTATATTGCTTATTTGATTTTAATGTAAAGTAATTATACAAATAACTTATTAACCAAAGATAAAAGAGAAAGACCATCTTTTATGTGGTTACAAATTATTTAACGTATCATTGAAAATGTCATTAACTAATCACTTTACATTTTGTTGAAATTAAATGAGTCAAAGAATCAACTGCGTGTCTCCATCTTTTATATCTTTGTATACTAAAAACGAGGGGCACAGATAATTTGTGACTTACATTTAAACAACATTTATGTAGTATTTAATTACTGGGTGGAAACCAAAATTATTTTAAGATCTATTTGAATTATACAAATTATTTTTTTTAAGAGCAGGATAAATTATAAATAACTATTTCTTTGAAAAATAATAATTCTTATTATTATTTAACCAGGAAAACTAAAACGCATGAATATCAGAGAAACTAAATTATTAAAAATTCGTAAATTTGATTCATTAAAAATATATACTAAATTTATAAAAAAATATTTGATTTAGTATTGAAACCATCTTACTGACACTCACAAAAAATATCTAAAAAAGAAAATTTAATTTTTACTTATTTATTTTAATTAAGCTTAGAGCCAGTTGAAAACTACTATAAACTATGTAAATACTTAAAACACAAAGATCGTTTGATTTAATTTTTCATGATATCCCAATAAAATGTTGGAAATTTACTAACATTATTTAAATAAAAACTCTATTCATTAAAATTTACCTAACAATTACATATCAGAAAACCCTCAAATTTTATGGATAAAAACCAGCGCGTGTTACGAGTGCGCGCCGATGAAGTGAAACTTCTTTCGTTATCAAGATATCGCATGAAAATTGCATCTATTGTAGTTCATTAAAAACATTTTTATTTTTTAATTCAAATTATCTGAAATCCAATTACTCAATACATTTTAAATAAAATTACTTTAATTGTTGAAAATACAGTACCAAATTATAATATAAAATATACTTTACAGCCGACCGTGATCCCACCGAGGCCAACCGTGACGTTCGATAATCTGTTTTTTCGGACCCTCTATAAAGAAGTTTCACTTTAATAACAATATATTTACATTTATTAAAATTAATATAAAATAAATTTGATACATTTAAAGATTCAAAATATTTGCTTGTATATGTTATTTAAATTAGTACTTATTAAGCTACCTTTTATTAGATTATATTTTTTGCTTAATTTATAAAATAAGCTTCAATATAGTTTGTAAACAGTTTATTCAAAACAGAAGTATTAATACTTGAAAATATTTGATAAAAACTGGAACTCGTTTATGCCACAAAACACTAAATATATTATCATTGAAGATGATCATCAAAATTTGAAATTAATATAATAACAACAAAAATTAAGGAGTTAATATTATAGTACAATGAAAACAGACTTTTAAACGTACAATAATTAAAGAAGTAAAAACGTATAAGTGCGTCTTGAGTGATAAAAGAGAATGCAGTTCAACAATTAAAAATACTAATATATTTAATGTTAACTCTTCGATGTGATCGTTAATTATATTATCCAATACACATTTTAAGTGCACCAATTATGAAAAAATGTAATTATTTCTATTCACTATTTGAAAATTCAGGAAAAGGTTAAATTAACACTGAATTTAAGTAAAAAAATAATAATATTGAAATGCATGTAAAACACGCCGGCTCAATAAATCAACTTCTTACTGTTTATTATGAAATATAACGTTTATTTACTAATCGAAAAAAGTATGGAAATCAAACATCATCAATGTATAATAAAAAAGTCACAATAATTCATTTTGTCAATTTAAATACATAAAACGTTTGTTAATACTTTAGTTCAAAATAAAAAAAACCTTTATTGACAACTGTATGAAAATTATGAATTATTGTATTACATCTGTAAAATCTATGCCAGATTTGTTACTAATTTTATATATAAATTCAAATAAAAGTGCTTAAAAATTTAATTTAAATACACATTTCATTTCCGACAGATATAAATTTTAAGTTTTTGCTCATGACATTAGAGATTAATACCCAAATATTTTCCTACATATGTGTTATTACAAACGTACAGATATTTTATATTTAAATATTAATCGTAGTTTTAAATAAAATACCCAGTGCCAACAACTTTATTGAAAAAAAAACATTTGAATTGTTCATTTTTAAAATACAAATTTCAATCAATTACAATATAATATAGTAATTGTTCATTTGTAATTCTTGTTTTCATTACTTAGCATATAGTCCACTTAATCAAATAATTATAATTTTAAAATTCAAAATTAAAGTTAATATCTAACATAGTAGTTTTAAATAAAGATAGTTTCCTTTGTTAAAAGTTATCTTCTTTTTAATATTGATAGAACCCATATTTATTGGCTTGAATATGATTACAAAATTGATTTTATTAATTTAATTAATCATTTATTCGTCAACTGATTAAATAATAATTGTATTAAAATGGCAAGTATTATTTTAATCAGTTGACAATTATTATAAGATTGAAACTAAATTTTAAACGCGTCAAAACTTATTTTGTCAACTTTTAGAATTTCAGCTTTATAAACTTTTTATTTAATTAATATTTTGTAAGAAGTTTTCCATAATATACCAATTTACTTTTAAACAATATAACATAGTATGTACTTAATTAAACTGTAAAAATAATTAAACATTACATAGTTCAATTTTTAATATAATATTATAATATGATATGTTCACAATATACATATCGAGAACTTATTTTTAGAATCTCAAATAAATTACTAATCTTCTAGGGTAAATTTTTTAGTTTTAATGTCAATTGGTTAGCAATTTAACATATACATTTATTTTAGATCATAAAACAGTAATTTTTGTATTTTTTGTGAAAAATATACTCGTATAGCTACTAAATCAAATCATGTCCAAATAATCCTATA